TTTAAAAAGAACAAAGGTGACCCCTTATTAGACTCAGTATTTATGTTTTTTATCACAGAATAAAAAAACAGGCAGTGATCAAACTTTATTCTTTAAATAAAGAAAAAAAAAAGTGATCAGAATTTTGTTCAGAAGCTCAGTAAGCGATATTGAGAGCTTCTACTTCTGTGTGATTTCACCAACAATTAATTAAATTTAGCAAAAAATAAATTCACTCATCCATAAAGAATTTCAAGAATTGTACGGCTGTTAGGTATTGGGCCCCAACGTCGCTGCAATGGTTTCAAGGTCAAACATATATCTGTTGTTCTTTAAGAGAATAACTGTCTCTAACCAGCATATACAGTAGATGTCCATATTCAGGCTGTTCATGCATGACCCAGTATTGTGATAAATGGCTAAGTTAACTGGACTGATCCTTTCACAGAGCAAGAAGCATAGTCAAAAGCTGCCTGCACTGGATATGAAAGTCAAGTCAGCCTCAGCAACTCCCTATAGATATTGTAGAAAGATGATCTTTCATTACCCGTCCTTTCAATAAGCAGCTTAACCTGTATCTGTGTTATTTGTGTATCCATTTATGTGTGTTTTGTTTGGCTCAGTTGGGTATTAAGTCATTACAATAGGGTGACAACATCTCTGAGCAGGCAAAGGATAATGGTTGGTGACATGAAGGAGCAGAATAACAGTCACACAAACCAAATAAATTGATTTTATTGAGAAAGGCTCACTAAACTCAACAATGGCCCCCCGGCTGGAAGCTCTGACCGTCTACACAATGGCTTTAATCTGGAGTATTAAATCCTGCACAAAAGACAACTAAATGTTTTTTCTCGCGGCCTTGGCACCTCTGCCCTCTGGTGTTGTATTCCTCTGCCATGAGGCATCTGTAAATAGATGTCATCACATGCTACTGGTTTTAAAATGAAGGCACATGCTATTCTTTCATTTTCTTTTATAATCTAGCCAAGGTAAATGGGATTTACCCTTGGAACGAAACTACCAACCAATGGTCACAGCATCATAGATAGAAATGCAAGTGATAATAATTATCAGTTTAATCGTAACGTATCGATATAAAAACAGATTATATATGTCTATCTGTCTATCTGCATCATCTGTCTGTCTCTATGCATCTTCATGTAGCTGATTCTGCTTCCCATCTATCCATATAAAAAGCTTATAGCATCCAGTGCTCACTGACGTGCACTTCCGTATACTCCACCACTTAATCAAGACATACTTCTTCATTTTCCACCACTGCACCAACATGCATTTGTATATTCTCCACAACTGCACAAATGTGTACTTCCTCATCCTCCACCACTGCACCAACATGCATTTGTATATTCTCCACAACTGCACAAATGTGTACTTCCTCATCCTCCACCACTGCACCAACATGCATTTGTATATTCTCCACCACTGCATCAATGTGTACTTCCTCATCCTCCATTACTACACCAACATGCATTTATATATTCTCCACCACTGCACCAATGTGTACTTCCTCATTCTCCACCACTGCACCAACATGCATTTGTATATTCTCCACCACTGCACCAATGTGTACTTCCTCATTCTCCACCACTGCACCAACATGCATTTGTATATTCTCCACCACTACATCAATGTGTACTTCCTCATCCTCCATTACTACACCAACATGCATTTATATATTCTCCACCACTGCACCAATGTGTACTTCCTCATTCTCCACCACTGCACCAACATGCATTTGTATATTCTCCACCACTGCACCAATGTGTACTTCCTCATTCTCCACCACTGCACCAACATGCATTTGTATATTCTCCACCACTACATCAATGTGTACTTCCTCATCCTCCATTACTACACCAACATGCATTAGTATATTCTCCACCACTGCACCAATGTGCACTTCCTCATTCTCCACCACTGCACTAACATGTTTTTCCTCATCTACCACTACACTTGCATGCACTCCCTCATTCTCCGACACATTTGCAGCAGCCAATCATTAAAGATGAAGTTAAATGGCCACTCCCCCATTTGAGAATCTCAGCATGCAGAAGCGGGATATCTTCTATGTTGTGCACAGGGATTGGGAGATTTGGTGTTGTTTGGACTAATGTCTTTATTCAACCTCAAATACTATGTAACTATGTAATGGGTGGGAACATGTGCAAGTCAGCATCAGTTACATTGAAACTGGGGGAGAGACTGTTGCTGCACTGCACTCTGTTTTGTTTCTAATTTTAAAACTGCAGGTAAAAATACAAGTAGCATTTTGCATTTTCAACTCAAGACTTCACGGCTCCTTCCTTTTTTCCTCCGGTGGTGGTGGATAGGGATGAGCTCAGGTTCAGACCGAACAAGAACCTGAGCACCTTCGAACCCTGAAAGAGCTCCTCCCATACATGGAAGGAAGCTCCTTCTGTGCCACCCAATAAACTGTGGGTGGGGAATTCCCTTCCCGTAGCTTGACATAAGCAAAGGGGTGGGATGCAGTGATATTATTTACTTTATATGACTACATGCCTATAAAAAGATAAAGTAGAAGTGCATTGCAAGTCTCCAGACCAGCGAGCTTGCAGGACTCTTGCTGTGGACTTGCCAAGCAAATTTGCTACAAATTCAAAAAGTGTCAACTAGAACTTGTGCTGCGAGTGTTCTGCAAGTCTACAACTTGCCAGGAATATGTGCAGCAAGTTAACAAAATTACAATTTCACCCTGCCACACGTTTGTAGCAAGTTATCCTTGCTATCTGGGGGGGTGTCACCCATGGTTCCCTCCTAATGGTGTCATGAAATAAAGTTTGAAGGAAGCCTAATAATCTAGACTAAAACGGGGTCAATCTGGGGCAAGACCATCAATGCAGTGCAGAGGTGACATTAAGGGTTTCATTTGGGTAGCGTATTTTGGGTGCCGTAATTGGCTGTTGTTGTTAATGGGCACATGCAATTTTAACTTGACATGTTTGGTATCTATTTACCCAATGCAACCTCATCTTTTATATTTTACCAAACAAAGTAATATATCATGCTATGTCCTAGCATGATATCCAACCATCCATCCAATCCATGCCTACCTGCCTGTCCACAACTCTAACAGTTACCGAACCATGATTCTTACATAAAAATAAATTGTTGAAAAGCCACCCGAACGCTTCCTTCTATGGATCTGGAACATATTTTTTCACTGTTTATTATAAAAAAGTATAAGTAAAAGTATCCTCCCATAAACTTTACTGGCTCTTGTCAAAGTGACTCCAATGTCATCAATCAAAAAGCTTTGTATGAAATCCAAACCCGGCGCAAAGTGCTCCTGTAGAGATGTCCTTGAGTTTTTCATGTACGGGATCTAGAATAACTAAAATGATCGTAATAACTGGCAGCTGTCTATTGTCTCCTCAGCATTGTCACCTGAGCCATATCTATAGCTGGCTGTTTGTGTCATTATAATTACTATGTCCTCACAATCTCATTCATCACTGCTGGTGACTGCAAACCCATCTCTGGGCTGAAGCTCTAAAGACCTGGCATGGAGAGAAGATCAGCGCTCATGGTGGAAGATAACTCCCTGCTGTATACTTTGGAGGGGATAACAAGATTGTATTTTAGGAAGAAGGATTTTCCGGATCAATGGTTATTTTCCAAGAAAAAAACTTGAGATCTCTTTTTCCATCCCTGTATGTATATATTATATACTGAAGGTAACAGAATAAAGAGCACACCGGACCACAGAAAAAAGTAATAGAACTATAGGAAAATTACTGTTACTTATGTCTTTCTTTTGATAGATAGATAGATAGATAGATAGATAGATAGATAGATAGATAGATAGATAGATAGATAGATAGATAGATAGATATGGGATAGATATGGGATAGATAGATAGATAGATAGATAGATAGATAGATAGATAGATAGATAGATAGATAGATAGATAGATAGATAGATATGGGATAGATATATAGATAGATAGATAGAATTTAAAAATCAAATATCTAAATTATCTAAAGTTGATCCATCCTCACATGACTATGTAGAAGTTTCGCCCAATGCCCAATCAGCCCTGGATTGGTTTAATGTATGAAGTAAATGAGCTGTCAACCTTCTTAGCAGGCTGTGTGAAAACAAGCTGTTTTATGGGCTCAATCTGATTATGTTAATAAATCCCATTTATAATTGATAAACCATTTTGATAATTGCCCAGAGACATCTGTCAGCCCGTGGGCTCTGGTCAATTAGTGCAAATGCCCAGCAGCTAGCACACCCTGCAGACCGGCCACCTATGAAATGAACACAGACCCTGTCAGGACAGGAGCTGTCTGGTGGGGTTACACAGATTGAGTGGCAGAAGGAACTGGGCACTCTCATTCTGCTGGGCTGGGAGGTGCAAGACAGGG